CAGATGATTGGGATGAAACTTTAGTTTGTGGCGGGTTGTACGGTGGTGAAAATCAGCAGCAGGTATCAATCCGAACAATTCCTCAGAACACTCCCCATGATAAATTCGGTAGAAGATGCACAGAGATGCAACATCTCTGCGCAGCTTCAGTGGGTCAAGTCGGACAGTAAGGCGTTGACTATCGATAATTCGAGCCGCCCGACTTTGAATGCGGTCTAACGAAAGGAGTTGGTACTGTGGCGCTCCTGCCCACAGGTGAGAACAGTATTCCATATGCGGCCTGACTTGGGCTTTATATAATTTCAGGCGGTGTTTTGGTATGAAATATCGTCTCACCCTATTGAGCACTCCTAACTTTTTGGAAGCTATCTTAGCCTTCTCCTCCAGATGACCGCAAAACTGGACGTCGCAAGATATTTCAACGCCCAGAATTCCTAGACTCGACTTTTTATCAAGGGAAGTGCCCTGAAAGTGAGGAGATACGACAAACGGCGTCTTTTTTGCGGTAAACGCGCAGACTTGTGTCTTTTTGGGGTTAAATTGGACAAGATTTTGTTCACCCCAGATCGAAACTTGATGGAGTGAAGTTTCGATTTCAGACACAAGTCTATTCCGGCACTCATCGGTATGTGCCCGCGAGATTGTTAATGAAGGGGGACTAACGGTCCCATTGCACCTTTGAGGAAACCGTTATGATTGATTCCTGATGAACTTGTTACGACGGGTCAACTGTTCTGCTTTAGCTTCACCTATCATCCCTCATTGGTGCCCTGCTAGCATATATTATATAGAGCGCAAATGGAGTTACCATTCTATTATCATAGATAAAAAAAAAAACTGGTATAAATGCTTGTCAGTTTTAACTGTAATGAATGTAAGAATTTTCATTATATTTAAATCGTATTGCATTTTTATTTAGGTATTGTATTCGAATTTCAAATATTCCCTAACTTTATTGTATTTAAAAAAGGAAAGTTATTTGTATAATAAAATCCTATTGTTAACTACTTTTTTGCCGGGGGGAAAGGGATTGTTAGTAATGGAGACTGAGAATCCCATTGCTAGCAATATACCCAACCAGGTCGACTTCCTCGCGGTTCTCCTTGGAAACTATCATGGTTAATTCCTGATGAATTCATCATGATGGGCTAAATGGCCTGTTTTCATTCTCATCTATCACCCTTCACTGGTGCTCCGCCAGCGTATTCCGTTAGCGCAGGCGGGGTTACCATACCATTTTCACCCACAAAAAAAAAACTATTTTTTTGCCGTTTACCTTATCTAAGAATAATTAATAGCTAAATTGCCACCGCTAATTTTTGCAAAAATATATAAAACTTGATTTAAATGAAAGATGAGCGAAAATAGACTACAATGAATCTGGATTCGGCAGCTCTCAGCCACAACTTAGCCTACCGTACGGAAGTCTAAAATATGTAATGAAACTATCATTACTAAAGCTTGTTAAATTTATATTATCTGAACTATATGTATGTTATGACTTAGGTCTTCAGGTCAAGGAAGTGGAAACAACTCATTCCGTTCATATTTTTTTAATGGATGATAATGAAATGGCAACATGGATGATAGGTAGGGATGAAAAGGCAGGTTTTTTTAATGGGTGATAATGGAATGGTAACCCCACCCGCGCTATCAGTATACACCGGCGGGGCACCAGTGAAAGATGATAGGTGAGGATGAAGCAGGTCAGTTAGCCCATCGTGACGAATTCAATAAGAATTGTTCACGCTGGTTTCCAGGGGGAACCACGTGGAGCTCGACCTAATAGGACATATTGCTAACAATGGGGTTGTCAAACTCCATTGCTAACAATCCCTTTCCCCCCTGAAAAGGCAGGTTAGCTAGCCCATCGTGATGATGAATACACCTGGGATTCAGCACGATGATATCCAGGGGGACCACGTGGAAGTCGACTTGACAGGGTATATTGCTAGTATTGGGAATGGTAGTCCGTATTACTTACAATCCCTCCCCATCCTCGTTCATTAATTTGAGAGCTATGACAACAAAATAGACACAAAAGCTTCATACCAATATTGGAGTCTAAAGAATCAGTCACCGAAGTAACTAGTTCTGCCTCTAAAATAGTCACATTCCTATACTAGTGCATATACATGAACATGTTCAGTATGAAGTTCCAGAAACATCAAGATTGAATAAAATTATTAAACTTTCTAATAAATACAACAACAATCAAAGAAAACTATCATAAAATGTCTTTTATTTTAAATGCCAACGAACTGGCTATCAATGAATATTAAACCCACACCACACATACAAAAACACCTAATCTATTCAAGTGGCTAGTCGTAGGGGTCGCGACACGTGGAACAAGGACGCACATATTATTAAAACTTGTGATAAACAAAGACAGTACTATAACCGATGTTCGGGTCATAAGGCGACCGATATGTCATAACCCGTCCGAGCGAAACGACCATATATATAGCGCTTTAGGACAGAAAAGGAACGCGCTGACAATGACGTGAAGGGTTAAATGTCAAGCAAAGTGTCGCGGCCTGTACAAGCGGGATGCCTTATTAATATTATCGCGTGATAGTAAAGGACAGAGTTACGAGGGTCAAAAGACGAGCGTCGGCAACCCTGACCTCTCCAGACGCGTCGCGGGCCGTACTCAGGGTTTGCCGAGTGTAAATAAAATGTTTAAAATGTTTGCCGGCAATAGAATAGTCGTTTTCAATAGGACTGTTTCCTAGGGTCGTTAAAATACGTGGCGGTATTGCATTGTTCACCTTGTTTATGGTGGCTGTTACAAGTGAATGAGATACCATAGATTTACCTGTGCCATATAACCTTAGTCTATCTAGCAGTGTCTAGAGCAACTTAAGAGGACATTGTTTAGTCGATGTAGAAATACTATAGTCGATATTATTTAACTATTTTCCACGTTAAGTAGGCAATCTAACACTCTATCTAATACTATACTCCTGTGCAAAGTTCTCCATTGTTTATAGCAATTTTATATTCGACTGATCTTAGATAACATAGATCTTCGAGTGTCAAAAACATATCAATATTTAATCAGCTAAATTGACATTTGCCTTACTCAGTTTGATAGATTTATTTTTAATCTAGATAAAACGCGCGTTTATTCAGTATTGCAAGTAATTAGATTAAAAATTCTCTAAATACAATTTTTTTTTTTAATTTAAATTAGGAAATATTTCTTTTGATGTAATATTAACATATAATTAAAATGAGGGCATTTCTAATTAAATTTTGCTTCATTTTGTTTTTAATATTTTCACTTTAACCTCATTTATAATATAAATTCTTCCATATAATGAGTAGTAAATATAAGTATACTATGGTAATCCTATTCATGTAATATGGATAAAATTATTAACCTGTTTTTAATGAAGCGTTTGTATTAAGTTACCCTATCTATATAAAATATATCCCATGTTGGTCTCATGTTTTATCATGATTGTAGCAGTTATTTTTCTTTGCGGCATAAAATACTAAAATTATTTTGTAAAATAAACTTATTTCAAAGAAAAAAAAAGCAATAAGAAGTATTACTATTTTTTTAAAAAAGAATCTACTTATTATAGTGGTAAATTCCAATGTATGCAATAAAAAAGCCCTTTTTTAAAGTCAGTTGAAAATAGGAATATTTCGAATTTGAAATAAACTCTGAAACAAACTTTTATATAAAATAAATAAAATTTTTCATTTTTATGCCGCGTGACTAATCCGGCCCACTCTCGGAATTATCATGCTCATGAACTTAGTGAACTGATATTTATAATAAAAATAGTTTTTATCGAGATAGAAAAATAAACAGCGCTCCGTCCCTGATCTCCAGTGCACTAATGAATCGGGACAGGCGGCATAATTAAACAGTTCGCAACAATCGGCCTCGTCCGATGCCTCCTGAAACTAATATTTTTGTGACACAATAACCAGTGACACGTTTTTTATGTGATAAAAAGTTTTGTTTCGACACCGAATTGTTTTTGGGGACTCCGGAATAAAGTTATATAAGTTCGTTTCCCGCGGTTTTTATGTTCGAATTTCAAAATTTCATGTGCGTTAATATTTTACCTGGTGATCGTTGAACTTTTGTACTATCACCGTGTAAAGTGATACAGTTTATTTTGTATTAGATTTTTTTTTGTGGTTATATTTTTTGCTCTCATTTTTACGTTACAACAAACTTTATCTCTGAGTTGTAATATAAGATATTCTAATTTAAGTTTTGTGAATATATATGTGTAAAAAAATGTTCAGGCCGGAGTTTCATTTTTCGAGCAAATTATTGGATCTATTAACAAGAGGTACACTTATTATTTTTATTTATTTATTATATTTAGATATAATAAAAAATCAGTACCAGTTTTCTATATACGTTTTTGAAATGATGTCGACGAGGTACTTGCCTTGGTTTCGATTTTTCTATCATTATAATACAGAGTAGCGTTACATATAATTTCAAAAATCGAACAAACGTAAAATTTACAATATCGTTGTTAATAAACTTCTGCATAATGAAAAAATAGTATAGAATTACTGTAAAATTAATATAAAAAATATTAACTTACGTAAAATCTACGTAGATGTAATAAAATGTAGTGAATAAATAAAAATCGCGTAAAACCATGCATAGTAGTTTTTTTAATGATGAAAATGAATGATAAACCCGATTGCGTTATCGCAGTAGGAATAGGAAGAAATTTTTATGTTACTCTATTATTTATCTACATTTTATTTACAGCACCTACGTAATATCTTCATCATTTATAAAGCGATTTTGATGATTCTTTTTAAAATCTCTATTATTAATTTTATTATGATAGAAATAGTATTTTATAGATGATCAAAATCGTAAGTTATGAGTAAAATACAATGTCGTAGTTTTATAAAACTACAATCACAAACAGAAACATTTTTTCGTTTTATTAATATATTTTTTTTTATTTTTATTTTACTTGCACATATTAATGTTATTGTTTCAGGAAACACGCAGCGTGACAACTATAACTTCACATCAAATAACGGTAAATACGTAGTTTAATTTCGCACTGTAGACTTTGTTTGCCTTTTTAGTTAATTTCTCGGTTCAAAATTCAGTTTCAGGTAAATTTACAAACTTTTCTAAAATAGGCAACAGTACATAGTTGAGTTAATTCGGAAAAAATTAAATGCGGTAATGGTGTTCAACGTAAAGGAAATAGTTAAATTTAGCATTTATTTTCATACACTTTTGTTGCTGACTTGTACTCACGATATCTGTGTATATGATATTTTATTACTAATACATATACCTATATATAAATCTTTGTTTTGTCTTGTCTTGTCTTTATGTTAGTTAAAACTAAATTTCGATTTATTGAAATTTCGTAAACCTTTTATATTTGTCACAAAAAGAGAGGTAGATTTATTTCGATACAAAAAGAAGGAATGTAGAATCTTCTCTTTTTTTGAAGTCGATTAAAAATGGGTCCGGTAGATAGTGATAGAAGACAAGACAACGTTTACCAGTTCAGGTAATACAGACCTGCAATAGCAAATAAATTGTCAGTTTAACAAATTAATGTAATATAAAGTAAAAAGTGTATTTATATAATGTAAATTTTGACGATTAAAAAAATATATAAAATGAATGAACAAATTAAAACTCTTTACTGTTTCCTTCAAAGAATGACACAGATTGTAAAAAATAACAATATATAACATAGACTTATATAAATATAAACCACCTATGACCAATTGTGAAATTACACATACTTCATCTCAACTTAGAAGTCAAACCGAAAAATTTATTTAAATATGAACGGAAAAATGCTAAGGACGAAATCCTTTTCGCTTTTGGCAATGGGATTGTAAAAGCTGCTTCGCATTCAATGAAGCTATTTCATGTTTTATTTAAACACTTTATCACATATTATTGAGTGGAATGGTTTACAAAAGATAGCAGCGTCGGTTGTGTGAAGGCTCGACACGCACAGAAAGCGGTTTCATTGTGGTGTCAAAGAGTTTTCACTGCTAATATAACTACATAAAGTGAATTCTTGTCGTACATAGTACTAGCTATATCTCGTGACTACGCTCGCGTGAATCACTACATGAAGTACCCTATATGCTAAATAAGGATACAACCTACCAGTGTACCAAATTTCATTCAAATACGTTCAGTAGATTTTGCGTGAAAGAGTAACAAATATCTATCCATCATTGAAAACTTTCGCATATATTATAATAATAGGATAGCGATACTCAGTATCACTGAGTTATGTACTATACGACACTAAGTTTATTTTTTGTTTTATTTATTTATTTTCACTATAAAATAAAAATAACAAACAGGTATACCATAAACCATAAATGCTTGTGTGGAATGCCATACATTCCGCTTATTTTGTACTTGTCATCACATTCGAATACAAAATTTTATTTATACAATTACATGAAATTACTACAAGTTGTTAAAAAATACTTTTTAAAATTTATGTTCTATGTTGAACTGTGTGATACTTCGTATGAATCGTGAATCTAAGCTTAATAACTTACGAATAAATACGAAGAATAAAATACAGAGTGGTACTGTCGCCATTATTAAAGTATTGGATGCCCCAACTGTTACTAGTCTTAAATATACTAAATACATAATAGATACGTAAGTATATAATAAATTCGGGAACCCAAGACCGATTCCCAAGTTAATCCATAGATTTTTTTAAATTCACAATTGAAATATTTCGAAAATGATTGTCCCTTATTTCGTCACGTAAAGCCATTCTCTGGTAATGTAGATGGCAAATAAGCTGACGAGCCATCTGATCAGATAATCAAAACAGCACTGAACTGGGAAGAAAGTAATTATTAGTAATGGGGATCCAATAGATACATTGCTAGCAATATCCTGATAGGGCAACCTTCACGCGATTTCTCCTGTAAACCATCTTGATTAATTCTTTATAAATTTGCCACTATGTAACAACTGACTTGAAATCAATCTCACCTATCATCTCTCTCTGGTGTCCCACCAGCAAATACTGATAGTACAGACTGTGTTACCATCCCAGTATCAACCATTAAAAAAAAGCAACGCGTACTTCATACAATACCCAGTGATGGTATCCATGAGGTAGTTACACAAACGAAGTATGGTATGCAGATACTCGCGTATTCTATTCAACAATATACGATTGTTATCTTTGAGGACTTAAGCATTACGTCTCCAAGCTCTGTAATGTCAATAGGCATAGCTGCTTATTGGCGTGAATATGAGTGAGATAGAGATATGTGATCATATATCATGATATGAATGTATTCGACACATACTCTATAGTTTGTAGTTCACTCCCGCCAAAATAGCTGTCAAGTTATCAATGTTAATATATCAAAAATGTAAAATGTAAAAAAGTGCCAAGTCTCCCAACACAGTTCTTCTACTTAAAAAATTGTAAGATCCTTTGTAAAACTCTGAAATTTATTTAAGTTAGTGTCTATGGACGTATCTATTCAACAACTTTATTATAAATTGTTATCTAATCAATTAACTATCAGCATTTATGGTGACCGTTTCCATATTAGACATCTTTATTTATATAACAATTATAATGACTTGGCAACTGCACGACAACGTAATTATAAAATAAAATATTTAATACAAAATCTACTATTTCGAATATTAAATAAATAAAAAATAGTGCACTTAAAAATAAAGTATTTTATTAGTAAAATATGTTGCCGTGCAATTGCCAAGTCATTATAATTATTATAGAAATAAAGATATCTAATATTGATACGGTCACTATAAATATTGATAGGTTATTAATTAGTTAACAATTTATAGTGCATGGCAGTGTTACCACTCTATTTTCATTCCATAAAAAACATAAATAGATTTTGTCTTATCGTAGTTTGAGAATCGATATGATTGGTTTATAATTACAAAACGTTAAACGTGCTACAAGTAAAAAAACATTAAATTAAGGAAATAATAATTAACATTTAATCAACTATAACTTGCTGTTAGCAAGACATAGACAAAATAAAATAACGTATATACATGATATATGTGATATAAAATTTTACATTAACTGAATACAGCAAACGGTAATATTATATCGTACATGATTAAAGTATCGGTAAATACTCATTTAACTACAAATTATTTGTTGATAAAATAAACCCACATCATGTCTTCTGCACCTTTGACCATTTCAAGGCTTCATACTTCGAGTCGGCTAGTTATAGTAATAGCAGCGTATATACTACCTATAAAAAAACTATAAAGTTTTCATTAGTTATATAAACTTTGAAGAGAAGGAGACCTTTGTTCCGTGTATCCCAGATTAACTTACACAGTGTTGCCAGCTCCTTATCACATTTTCGGGCTAAATCAATTTTTAAACAGGTTGAGATTATAAAAAAAAAACTGAAAATTCCTACCATTTGATCATTAATATGTTCTTAAATAAATCCACAGTTAATTAGTAAATAGTAAAGAAAGAAATCCGAAAACAAAATCTATTTCCATGTATTTTATATTTGGTATTAGTGCTTAAATAAAAATATAAACATCAATATAAGGTGAAAAAGGGTTAGATCGAGCCCCGAAAGGGCTAAATTAGCTATTTTTGGACTTAAACCTACCGACTAAACGACAGTAAACAGTAAGGGCGCGATAGGTTAACTGACAATAAACAAGCCGGAATGGCTATTTTATAAAGTTGCGGCGTACATTCAACTTAATAGGTACGTATCGTTATGAATGAGATACATACGGGACTTGGTAATATAACTGATCTAATATAACAGTAGTAATAGTGACAATTACTGTCATACATGATACAAGTTTATAACGAATTTTATCATTTATTTATTTATATTTTATTCACCACATTCGTAAAAAATATTTGGTACAAAAGTCTGACTGAATACTATGCAAGTTGCATTCTCTCTTGTCAACCTGTCAACGAATTTGAATATCAATATCATGTAAAATATTGTTTAATATTTACTAATCTGGAGCGTAGTTCTTTGAATGTTGTATTAATTTAGTTGTGTGGGTAATCTACTACTACACGCACAATTACTAATTGTGCGTGTAGTAGTAGATTACCCACATATATACAAAATTGTCATACTGAAAAATACTACCCAAGCATACTAGATCTAAAAACGAGCAAATTTTCATGATGATAAATGTCATTTGCGTATATTGCTATGCGAAATACTATGCGAGTTGCATTCTCTTTTGTCAACTTGTCAACGAATTTGAATATCAATGTCAAGTAAAATATTGTTTAATATTTAGTAATCTGGAACGTAGTTCTTTAAATGTTGTATTAATAATAATTGTGCGTGTAGTAGTAGATTACCCACATATACACAAAATTGTCATACTGACAAATACTACCCAAGCATACTAGATCTAAAAACGAGCAAATTTTCATGATGACAAATGTCACTTGCGTATATTGCGTTGCGTATGTGGGTAATTCGCATGAAATCTCGAAATTCCAGTCCTAGTAGTTTTTACAATAAACTTAACAGACTTAGGATGGTATTTTATTTTTTCAGAAAGAACATGATGAAGGCTAAAAATTTTGGTAATAACTTTGGAATCGTACGGGCATTTATGAGGAATAAAAAATATATAGTACATTGAAAATCATTCCCTCACTATGTCCCAAACTACAGATTAAAACATTGTATGAAGTTATTATAGAAAATTTCTCAAAAAATCTGTTTGTAATTATGGCTAGTCTCTTGTAAATACAACAACTTTTTAAAATTTCTCTGAATTTAAGATCATAAATCATCAACAAGTTCTCTAATGTTGACTCAACATGTGTCCCATGAAAAATAATCATTCCCTCATATCATTATCAACAGTCGATAAGTAGGTATATTTATGATGACTTCAATAACATTATCATTAGTTTTTGATAGTTGGTAGTACGGTCACTTGTTCGGAATGGTGAATTGACCTCACGCTTGCTAGAGTACTTGTTGGAAATAAATATCCATGAAATTTTGTAAAGAT